TTATTTTGGTCCAAGGAATCAGTACGTAAATCCCCACCATTTTTGAACACCCTATATAAGCAATCGTTTTATTTTTGATTTTACATTTTATAAAATGGCCGCCAACTTTGATTTTTTTTAATGGACGACCCTATATTTTTGGATAAGATATATATATTTTTGGAGGAAGATCTTTTGGATACAATTTCCGCGAACATGTTCAAGGATTGATAATTAACAACTTGACATCAATGAAAACCAATGTTTTCCAACATTTGCTTCGTCTTGACCATAGTTACAAAAATAACACTTCAAAGAAAGGGAAAGAAATTGACACAAAGATCATCCTAATCATATTTAAATATGGGTAGGTACCATAAAAACCATACTTGAAATAGTGAACTAAATTAAATACACCCGTCACAGCATACCTGCATAGTCAGCAAATTTCCAGTACTGAAATAAAAAGTAAAAATGAACCCTCAAATCAAGTTTTGTCGGACCAAGTATATAAATAAACATGCACAAATTATAAGGAAAGCATGGGAAATAAGTATGTAGGTTTTGTGCCTCAAAAACTTTTTAAATTGGGCACCGTAGGTCATTATCAAGCATTTCACAACTAGGTAAAGCCACCGCAGAGTGGTATGTTTAGAAATAATAAGGAATATAGGGGTCTATAGATTTTTTCCCCCATAAGGATAACATTGAGAATTGAGTATGCAGGTTTTCAGCAGCAGAAATGTAAAAACTTGAGATATCAGGCCATAACTCAGTATATACAGGATGTTCAAAAAAGGTGGGGACATATTTTACCTAGTGATTCCTTGGGTCAAAATAAAGAGTAAATCAAGAATAACATTTTTTCCAAAATCACTTCAATAACCAGATATCCACCATTTTGTATTTTTTACATATACATTTTTATTTTTTAATATTTTCAACCGATCTTTATGAAACTTTGTATGTATGTTAAGGTAGACGAGGCCCGTGTCATAAAAAAGTTCATCTTAAACTTAAAATTTCAAAAAAAACGGCCATTTAAAACTTTAAACTCAAATTACTTGAAAATGACTGGTTTTATGAAAAAATGCCAAAAACACTTTTATTTAGAACTTTTAATTACCTATCAAACGATACCACGGTTCAAAAAGATTGAATAAGAAATAGCTGAAATATTACGATTTTTCTTGTAAAATGGGGCAAACCTGACTAGCTTCTGCCTTATTCTATCCCATTTTACAACTAAAAATAGTAATATTTCAGCTATTTCTTTTTCGATCTTTTTTAACTTGGTATTGTTTGATAGGGAATTAAAAATGTTAAATAAAAGTGTTCTAGACATTTTTTCATAACATTAGCCGTTTTTTAGTAATTTAAGTTACAGAAATAAAAACGGCCGCCATTTTGAAATTTTAAGTTGAATCAAGATGACATTTTTTTCTCACATTGGTTTTTTCAACCTTAACCTACATACCAAGTTTTATAAAGATCGGTTGAAAAAATTCAAAAATAAAAATGTTTAAGTAAAAAATACAAAATGGCAGATATCTAGTAAAAGAAGCGATTTTGGAAAAAATGTAATTCTTGATTTTCTCTTTATTTTAACCCAAGGAATCATTAGGTTAAATATGTCCCCACCTTTTTTGAACACTCTGTATAAACTAGATAAAAACATTTACCAAGTTTTATTAAGATAGAGTCCCATCTCTCCCAAAACAAATGTTATTCATTTCCCATAAGGTAAACATTGGTACAAGCCACTGTGTTACTACTATCAATATCTTGGAGACCAATGAACAAAGAGCAATGATTCAAATAGGGAAAAATAGGTTCTCTTCAAAGCAGAATTCAATGGTGTAAAATTAAATCTGATTACTTAAACTTTCTATGTAAAAACACCTGCAACCCCCCATTTATTAGGGAAACCCCCCTCCTCCTTACCTAAGTCCAATTTTGCTAGTTTTCATTTTAAATTGACCTATAAATAAGTTTCAAGGAATTTAATTGGCTTTTTCAATATTTTCTATCAAATGTTAAGGCTAAATTTACTTGTTACACAATTTAAATGGACAGCATTTACATTGACTTGACGGAAATTACACATAATAGCAAAGGAAAAATTTGCAGGGTGTCTGCTACGGGAGCATTTACATTGTATTGTATTGTATTGTGGTCAAAACTTAAAGTAAAAGCACTTACCTTTAGTTAGTTATACAATCATTGAAGACGATCAAAGGTGAATGAAATCATATAACTCCCAAGAGTCAACAAATAACTAAGTACTCTTCCAACTTTCACAAATTTATAACTAAGACCACTCAAATTACATGCGCATAAGATACCCCTACCATTTGGCATGCCCCCACCACCATCCCTGCCCTGCAGACTGGCGCCGCGGTATCCTTTGACCAGGCAACCTCAGAGACGCCGCCGTCTCGGGGTGGGGGGCAGCCCTAGCGGCCGAAGCTGCCGTGCTTTACTATCTAAACTAGTAATTTCATCGATTCGCCATTCCACAAAGTGTAAACTATTTCCGGTTAATAACACTTGAACCAAAAGAGCACTAAGGGGTATTTTAGCACTAACCAGCACTAAGATAAGATAAGAATAGTGTTTTATTTTACAAAATAGTTTACAAACTTACAAATTGTATTTTACGCACATATGGGTCTGACCGTCTACATTCCACTACATAATAAATTACATACAAAATGCATTCGTACAAAAGATTAGAAACATAAAAGCTCATTCAGAGTGGTTTAATTTCATTATTATTTATTCTACTACACTACAGATATTTTTTAGGCTATTGCCTAACCTTACCTACACGATTACGTATATACACATACATCATTCATAGGGTAGGCCTATACATACACACTCCACATACACACACATATGTATATATACACACAATTTGCAAATTAACCCAAGAATTGGTTTATACAGTAAACAATAATAGGCTATATTATCTTTAAAAATAATCAATGGTTCTTTGAAACTAACCGGCACTAACGTTACACTAACGATTTGTACCATTTTTGACGTTAGTGCTCAATTATTTGTACTGGGGGGGGCTAACTTTATATAAAGTTGGCACCACCCACAGTTTTTTTTTATAATAACACTTGAACCAAAAGAGCACTAACGTTGGTGATTTCAGCACTAACGTAGCACTAACGATTGGTACCATTTTTGACGTTAGTGCTCAATTATTTGTACTGGGGGGGGGGCTAACTATTATATAAAGTTGGCCCCACCCACCGTTTTTTAATAACAACGCTTGAATCAAAAGAGCACTAACGTTGGGGATTTCAGCACTAACCAGCACTAACGTAGCACTAACGATTGGTACCATTTTTGACGTTAGTGCTCAATTACTTGTACTGGGGGGGGCTAACTTTATATAAAGTTGGCCCCACCCACAGTTTTTTAATAATAACGCTTGAATCAAAAGAGCACTAACGTTGGGGATTTCAGCACTAACCAGCACTAACGTAGCACTAACGATTGGTACCATTTTTGACGTTAGTGCTCAATTATTTGTACTGGGGGGGGCTAACTTTGTATAAAGTTGGCCCCACCCACAGTTTTTTAATAATAACGCTTGAATCAAAAGAGCACTAACGTTGGGGATTTCAGCACTAACCAGCACTAACGTAGCACTAACGATTGGTACCATTTTTGACGTTAGTGCTCAATTATTTGTACTGGGGGGGGGCTAACTTTATATAAAGTTGGCCCCACCCACAGTTTTTTAATAATAACGCTTGAATCAAAAGAGCACTAACGTTGGGGATTTCAGCACTAACCAGCACTAACGTAGCACTAACGATTGGTACCATTTTTGACGTTAGTGCTCAATTATTTGTACTGGGGGGGGCTAACTTTATATAAAGTTGGCCCCACCCACAGTTTTTTAATAATAACACTTGAACCAAAAGAGCACTAACGTTGGGGATTTCAGCACTAACCAGCACTAACGTAGCACTAACGATTGGTACCATTTTTGACGTTAGTGCTCTAATGGGGGGGGCCAACTTTATGGACCTGATACTTTATTTCCATCTTAGTGGTCTTCGTTGATAAACACTTAAACCACAACGTACGTCTATTTTTAATTGACAATAAATTACAAATTATTGCATAATAGTATGATGAAGGTAGTTAATAATATATTTCGGAACTCTATCATAACTGTTTTTAGGCAGACTCTAAAGATAATGAAACATTGACAGTAGAAATACTGGTGAATTCATCGCTATGTGACGAAGGGGCTGCCGTGAGACGGTGGTGATCGTCTGTAGAGGCAGTAATGAGTGCAGACTGCTGAGTGACAACTGGTGTACATCCATAGTTTGTTAGTACATAACTAGTCATGTTGGTACAGCTTCCTTTTTACTCCTCATATTATTTATAAAGCAGTTAGGTTAAAAATGCAGTTCACACACTAAACTTGAATGTAAAGCAGTGTCGGGAAGGTCTTTCCGTTTTTTGATTGCCGTGTTTGCCATTTATCACATACACTCGTCTTAATACCTGGTATTGTTCATGGAAATATTCACATCATAATACAATTGTAATTCACTACACATAATACTAACACTTCTTCACTCTTGCTAATCCATCTTCTAACAAACCTCCGGTTACTTACATAAGCAAACAACCACGGATAAAGGTTAACCATAACAACAAACAACAACAAGAAATACGTAAATAACAGCTGGTCATGTCGGCAATGAAGTCTTAGGTTGTGAAGACATTCGCTAGGCTTCGCATGAAAATTGATATCACAAAAATGGCTTGGCTGCAATATCTATTTTGCGTAGCATATGTAATCTTTGCTTGTACATTTCCATTAGGGTATTTAAACCCTCCTCCTCCCCCCCCCCTCTCTCCCTGGAATACGAAACCTACAAGTGCAACAAAATTAGATAAATACTATCAGACTAATGAACATTGTATATACTGTATTGCAAAGAATTTAATCTTTGGTTTATAGAATCATGTTGTTTCAGCCTGCTTCTGCATCCGACTCAAGAATACACCTACCACATATGGAAGTAGATGTGAGTACTTCAGTTGACCTTTTATTTATGTACATCTGCACGTCACCTAGTGGTCAAAATTTGTGGGTCAAGCACAGTTTGGATAAACTATATCATAGATGTGGAAGCAGCTTGTAAGCAGACCTTGTATTTATTTATATTTTTTTACTCTCTACTTTCCAATTGTTCTACTAGCCAAAAGAGCCAGTAATATCTTTGCACTGACTAGATGGCTTTACACTCTCAACAACAGCAAACAATAAATTTTAACCAATAAATACAGTTCTAAGAATATTTTCAGTAAATAACACTTTTACTTTCATATGGTCAATATTTTTGTGATTGGTTTCAGTCGGACGATCAAGAGGAGAGGGAGCCCCCGCCTAAGCGAGGTCGTCTCGCTAAATTAGAGAAAGCAGAGTGATAACACCTGATTCTGAATGGTACAAAGTGATAAGAGGACACTCTGTGAGTGAAACAACTGTGTAAGCGGTTCCTGGAAAAACAAACTATCACCAAAGAACACTTGGAAACATTTGTCTGCTAAAGCCAAAAGAGGTACTTTTCATCAAGGTTTGCAGTTTGCAAGCGGTTTTAATATTTTGTCATTTTATTCGTGACTTAAGTTTTAAGTTGAACGTTGGGTACGAATTGTTAGAAACATAAAACCAAAATCAATAGTAGTTTTATCATGATAATTTAATTATAGAAAAGTTGTTGACACAAATATTTAATTATCGACGGTTTAATGGAAATTCTCGAACATAATAATGATTTAAGCACGTTGATTTGAGAACATATTGTTAATATATTTTCACAGTAAAAAGGAATTGAATTCTCATAATATTGGTTAGTAATGAACTATTTTTATTTTGTCATATCACAATGTTTTTACATAATCCATTAGGAGACTAGTCCTAAGAATTTGAGCATAAATTACCTGGTATTTATTTCATATGTAGAGTCAAAGTTAACATAACAACAGTGAAACTACACGATTAATTTAAATAACTATAAACTGAATTGTTTTAATGACTTTGTCTTTATTTCATGGGTTGAATGAGACCTGAGAGACAACGCTCCTAACGTCCTGAATTTTGAAAAAAGATATTTGCTACGAATTTAAAAACATTGAAGAAAATTGTCAAGTTTGATATTTAGTTCACAGAATTGAATTTTTTCAATTCACAGCTTGTAGGCAAATGTTCAGGATAATTAGTAGAACTAAATTCCATTTAGCACATGGAAAATAACTGAGAAATCTTACTTATTTTTGATCTGTTTGTATTGTTTCACATCATATTTCTTGATAAAGTGAAAAAGCTCTTAATTTTACAAATCTGTATCACTCCAAAAAGACCCTTGAGGATAGTTGTTACTATTTAAAAATCACTAAGTTATTGGTTAGTTTTACTATCATTCCATAAAACCAAACAGAAGGCCTGTTCAGCCTACAGCTGTGCTACCTACAGCACTGTTGTGGGCCAGGTGCCAACTTTTTGAACCTGTAATTCCATTAATTTATTGAATGGGAGCATTTCACTAGGCCCAAAGCTTATATTTCAGTACAAGGTCTAAGAATACAGCCATTGCCAGAAGTAAACATTTACTTTTTGAAATTAACTTGTAGAAAGACTGTCCTTTGAACTTTGGACCCTGTTAAGTTAGTTATTATTTTTTTATTTCACAAGGTCCAAAGGTTATTTTTAGTTTACAAGATCCAAAAATAAATTGTACAGAGGGTCCAAAAGTAGGAATAATTTCATATCCCAGATTGAAGGCGTTTGAGTACACGCCATGACCATCAACGTTCCTAGCTATCTATTTTCTTTTGTGATGTACTGTAACTTGTTATTTGTAATCAATCTCTCTGCATGCATTTTCATTTTATCATCATAGCTTGATTTTTTTAACTTGACATAATATTGGAAAACTGCTCTGCACTATAAACGTGGGATTAAAACATTAACATTATATCAAAAAATGCTTTGTTCTAAAATCTTGATTGTGATAAATGTTTAATTTCTTGTCTTTTTTATAATTGTGCGTTATTAAGCCCAAATTAATTTTTAGGCTATTTTATTTATCTCAGTTGTAATCTGCTCTAAGCCTCTGTGTTTCTTTCATAACTAGACCTACTCAGTCATTACACTATCTTACGTGACTATGGAACGTAGTTTGTCGTGTACCACCATATTTTTGCCAACACAAGTTTTGGATACTTTTGTCAATGTACAATTAAAAAAACAAAAATAGAAATCAAACATTTCTCACAACCAGGATATTTGTATTCAAACTGAGACCTAATTAAAATTATTCCTACTTTTGGAACTTCTGTACCATTTATTTTTGGACCTTGTGTACTAATTGTTCTTATTATTGAACAGACTCTAAACTTGGTCTATGTGGCAATAATAATGTTATGATAATAATTATTATAGAAATCCATGTGTGTAGCCCCTGAGCTGTTGGACATAAAGTAAGACTAAATTACTTAAGTCAAAGTCAAAACATTCTTTATTCATTGTTTTGTAGCGTAAGTACATTGAACATGCGTCATTTCTTAAAACTAATCCTTATAATACAATTTCTGTCAATAAGTACAATAATGTTCAAAACACCATCATTTCTGTTGGCAAATATTAAATTTAAGGCCGTTAGTTATTTTAAAACTCATCTAGTATCTACAACTAGTTGGATACAACTAAATAATTCTACAACTATCTACTATAATGCTCTCTCAACTAGGTGTTCTTTTAATTTTCTCTTAAATTTTGAAAACTCTTGATTTGTGTCTATTATGGTAGAAATTTTGTTTAAAAATTTAGATCCTATATAATTTGGCTTTTTCTCAAACATTTTTAATCGGTGACTTTGCAACCTTATTTTTGTTATTGTTTCTTGTATTATAATGGTGGATCAACTGACCAGTCTCAAATTCCTCTTGATTTTGTTTTGAGTAGTTAGTTTCACATACATAAAGACTAAAAATAAAATACCATCATAATTCTTAATTCTTTAAAATTTTCTTTAACATGGTCAGTTTGTTCCATATTTAGCATTATTCTGATTGATTTCTTTTGTAGTTTTAATATCTCATTCAGATTATTAATATTGGTTGCTCCATAAACATGTATATTGTAGGCTAAATGAGAATGAATCGTACCGTAATAGACCATTTTGAGAGTTGTCAGATCACAAATATTTGTTAATGTCCTGAGAGTAGACACACCCGAATTCATTTTTGCCAGTACTTTTTCAACTTATGTATTCCCGTCACAGCTCATCAATAAAATTTTTATTGAGCTGTGACGGGAATGTACGTAAGTAATTTATTCTTACATTATTATTATTAAAATACAAGCTTTGGGCCTTCTGAAAGTGATCCAATGGAACCCAGTCTCGAACTGTCACTTGATTTCCTACAACTACTCCAGCCTTAAGGTCAAAATTAAAATTTCTCAAACCACTGGATTTTTGTTACCAGCTTTATACCCTTTGCACAATTTTTCAACTCAAGCAGTTTAGCCATGACAGTCCAGATTTGCTCAATCCGAATGTGCACCCAGCCTATTTTTGAGGAAGTCATATTTGGTCCATTGTAGGACTAAAACTGCTCATATGTCCACAATGACCAACTAACTGTTAGGAACACAGAGAAATAAGGTACAGAGGAAACATTCACTTAAGTGGTGTCTAGCGCAATGTTCATCTCTCCCCTTGCCTTCATATACTACAATGCATACATTCTCGGTCCTTGCTCGTCAAAAGTATGTTTCCGGCACAACTTACTAGAGCTCAAAGCACACGGACGTCTATTAGCAAGTTTACTCTGTACCTCACTTCTCTGTGATACAAATAACCTCAAAACGCTGTTAATAGCACCTTGATTTACCAAATGTTCTTGTTTTACAAACTTACAAAATATATGTTTTTTTATTTAAACCTCAGTTTTGGTCAATGCTTAACGGTTGAAGTCTAATGATTGATGGCAAATGATCCTTATCTAATAGATTGTTACAGACATTTCCCATGACGATTAAAAAACAAACTTGTTATTCGACTGTACTACTCTCTTCTGTTGACGTATTGTTACAGTATTCCTCATATTTATTTTTAGTAGGCTTATATTACTTAATAGATTATTTGAAGTATGTTTTTAAAAGTATGTAATTTATAAAGCAAAAAATTTTTTAGAACCAATTTATAAATAATTGTGCAATGAAATCTGTGAATTTCAACCCATCACTCATCGCAAACAGTGGCTTGCAAGATTAAGAACTCCACCTTTTCCCCGTCACACCACTGAGCTAGAAAATCGACATGCTGTAACATTTAGGTCAGTTGGTAGCGTCACAGACTTTGGGCCCAAGGCAGTGATGTCGAGGGTTCGGATCTTAGTCACTGCCGTAAACATGTTGTACCAGCTCAGCCCTTGCTTTGCTGTATACGATCCACGCACGGGCAGTTAGTCTATGTGAACAGACAAATGCAAGGTTAAAGGAGGCTGCCAACCTCTATAAAAAAATAAAAATAAAATTAAAGGAATCAACCAGCTCATTAGCTATGGCTTCATTACAATCCCATAATCCCCTATTCTCTTAGTTCCAATTTACTAAGCAGTGTTTCCACATGCCATATTTTTATCCTGAAAAGGGATTTTTGGGCCAACAACAACGGGATGTGGAATAAAACGGTATTCTTGTCTCTGACCTTTATTTTTTTTTTTAATTATTTTTAGATCAAAATTATACCCTATTGAATTGAATAATTGCAGTTAAGAACTATAGCAAGGTTTAAAGAGCTATTTTTTTAACATGATATGACCGCTCGGGATAATAGATTTATTTACAAAATTATGCGAGATAATATGGGATTTTATTGACCCGAAATGTGGGATTTTTATTTTGGTTGTGTGGCCATTGTCTCTCTATTCTCTCATTCAGTGATACCCCCAGTTGTATTTCTAGCTCAGAGTCGCATACAACTTTATTTTTCATACAATAGGTTAGTTGACTACCTTCTATATTTACTTACTAATACTTTAATAAAGTAAGCCAGTATATTGCTATATATTTATTTGTTGGATATTTCATTTTCAGTTTTATCAAGCCATACAATCAAAAATACACACAGGGTGTTTAGAATGTCTGGAAACAAAAAAACTAAAAAAAAAACATTGTTACTATTTATAAATAAAAATTATCTTTTTTACTAAAAGTGTCCAGTGTCTTTTAAACACCCTGTAAAACAAACATTACATATTTTGCCCAAGTTACACCTTGTTTTGTAGCCCAGAAAAAATGTATGTTATGAATTGTACCTAGCTGGCTAGAATTTTGCTTGCACACATACTGTTGGCTCATACAGACTATACCAAGTATAGTGTTTGAAAAAGATTTTTTTCTTCCAACAGCCCTCAAATGGGATTTTTGCAAAAAATCTGTTAGGAATTTTCGTTATGAACGTGTTGTGATCAAAATTATACCAAATGAAGGTTCATTCAGTTTGCAGGTTGGCTTCAATGTGGCATTGAAATCTCACCCATTAAAAGGTACCATTTTATTTTTTTGGAATTGTTTTCATATACATATTCCGCTGTTGCAGAAATAGTTTCCAATGTGTGGTGTTTTTCGAGGAGCCAATAAGTAAATTATTGCTATAAGTATAGTGTTGTCAATATGAAAATCATAGTCATGTATATTTTGATACTTTTTTTCTGTACTTGTAACATATTTATTTAGTATTATTTTTAGTTTCTTCAACTAGTGGGCACATAAAAAGACGGTTTGGTGAGCTTTAGGTTGTATAATGTCACCGGGTGTGCAGTGCTTAGCCTTTTAATAGCAACACCATACGGTTATTTTATCAAAAGCCCTGACCGTCTTCTTACCTGCTCTCCAGTAATAGATATTTTTGTGATTCAAGACGACTGGTTATATATATTTAGAATTTAAGTTTTTCAATTAGTATTTTCTTTCTTCTATAAACTTGTTTTTGTTTGGTTTTGACACTTCAACCTTCTTTCATTTTATATGACACTTGGACAACGGGATCTCTTGTATTATGAAATTGACGGCTTCACCGATCATCAATGTTTGAAATAGTTTTTGTTGAATAGTTAAGTTTAAACAGATATACTTCTTTGTACAATACTTAAGCATTGTGGAAGGCATATCCAATAAATATTTTTAATTTCTGTGCCTTGATTGTTTTTTTACCTAGACGGCTGATTGACAATCCAATTTCCATTCACTGCAGGATTATAATGGAAAAGTTATTATAGCAGGATAATAATGGAAAAGTGTGAGATTTAAAATTATAATGGTTATATATTATGGTTAGAACCATTAAAATGGAAACAATCTGGATGACACTTTGTCTTTGAATCTTTTATGTTCACAAGTTTAGACAGGAAGGCATATCCAATAAATATTTTTAATTTCTGTGCCTTGATTGTTTTTTTACCTAGACGGCTGATTGACAATCCAATTTCCATTCACTGCAGGATTATAATGGTTAAATGGTTATATATTATGGTTAGAACCATTAAAATGGAAACAATCTGGATGACACTTTGTCTTTGAATCTTTTATGTTCACAAGTTTAGACATGAAAACAAAACCCCACAAACCATTACATTTAGAGCACATGTTTCAGAACCCTCATCATTACACATAACTGTAGCTGTAGCTATTATTTTATACGAGCTGTTGGCCCGTCCTACATATGGGAATCAAGTAGTCCACTAAAACTGTATATAGTGGTCTATTAGTAATTCAGGCATAGTTTAAGCAGTTCAAAATTTGATAGTAAAGAAAAAGCTTCCAAGATGAGTTAAAACATGTGATCATTGTTATTTCCCAAACCTTTCCTCAAAAAGTCGATTAGTACAATAATTTTCATAAGCTTTCTTTTGAAGATTCGTGAGCTTCGATTCGTATACAGCAATGGTTATAGAATCTTACTCATTTCCTATAATCAATGACAAAATCTCAGAGTAAATAAAATAACCTCATAAATCTATAGAATATTTTTTATTCAACCAGCTGTTAGTTATAACAGATTATATTTCGCTAAAACAAACTAAATATTTTAACATCTTTTATTTTACTATGCATATTTATCAATGGTTATGATGATTGATTGATTGATAGCATTACACATAGTATAAATAAGTAAATTCTACGTATGTCATTTCATTTTCATACAAAAGCTGAATTTTTGTCGAAAAACGCGGAAGGTTAACAGCTGTTATTATACCAAAAGCTAGAGTAGAATGTTAGCGTCGGCTTCTAGACTTTTAAAAATTTTAAACCTAATTTCCAAAAAACTGAAACCCTAAACTAAAATTATGGCTTCGACATTCCCCATTTCTCAAAATTATCTTTCTTTCAACACAAAAATCATGAAAATCCGTCAAGTGGTTGATTCAGAATCGCGAAATAAAAAAACCCTATCACGTTTTAATATTATAGATGAGTCCCAACTTCTTTTACAGACTATGGTATTGCACAAATGTTGTTCACCTTGCTTATGGAATTGTATTGTTGACTTACTTTTAGTTGTGTAGATTGGAATTGATTAGGTAAGAGAAAACAAAACATGTAAGAATAGGAAATATTTTATTTCAATAATAGAAATCACATACACAGCTTTTGCAAGAATCTATATATCATATCCAAACAAAACTCTTAATTTAAAAAAGGGGTGTTAAAAAACATCCATCTGAATTAATTGTCTAGGTCGGTTTTTTTTAAATATAGAAAATGTGGACTTGAATCATGTATTGCTATGGAAGAATGGACCTGATAATTCAGCTCTTGCGGTACAAGCATTGATTTTCTTGATGGCATCAAAACCCTTGAACCTAACAACTTTCTTCCCTCTCTGAAACAACCATCGATCGACTACGCCTCTGTTTGGGCAATGTAAAAGTAGGTTTGGTTTTGAAACCACCACACACAAAACTCAAAGAGTAAAAGAAAACAAATAGGTAAACATGTAAATTGAAACATTGAAAAATAAGATTTTAAATATGTAGCTGAGTTTTCATTCCATTAGTAATGGATTTATTTCCGAAATATTTGACACCTTTTACTAGTACTGCTTTACCTGATTTTTTACTGATTATCACAAGAGGATCGGTTCCAAAAAAATTATGCTGAAACCAAACCAAATGCCCCCCCCCCCTGTTCATTAAAATCCCCCAACCCAAGTTATAGGTAGAAATATGAAATGTTACTCTTACGCTGGGTTTTCCTAGGCGCGGAGAGCGAACTACTCTTGTCTCAGGTAATTTAATGTTACTGTTTTGCTAGAAGAGGAGCGGAATGCCATGTCAAGTCTGTTATTCCGAATATAAAACACTACCAACATCGGTTCTTGCCTTGCAAGACAGATTTAATCTCTTTTTTCCTAGTTGGCGTTGTTAAATACATTTTTTGGAGATGTTAATTGTTACAAAAAATATTCACTAGGGTAGTTTTTTAATAAGTAAAGGCCGTTAGTGCGTATAGCTTCTTAGTCCATAGGCTCCTTGCCTCTTACTGGCATCATTTGTAAACAGAACGGCGCCATTTGCAGCCTCTGCTGACAGTATCATACACTATGCTTTGTGTTCTAAAAGTAAGTTAAATTACAAAATCTCTCGCCACATGCCATTGCCAGATAACAGTTTATGGCCCTAATGCAATGATAGAGAATAGTGCATAAATGGGTTGAAGAGTTTTAAAATGCCTGTGAAAATGTCCCTTTCCGAAGTGTTTTTTTTGTAGTGGTTAGCCAGACTTCTCACACAAGACCACGAAGGGAAAAGTTTTCACGGCCATATTGACACTCCCTAAACCATTTCTGCACTTTATCCTCATTCATTGCATTAGGGTGTTGAATTTCGACATCGGCTATGTTTCTTGTATCATCCTCCTTATATCATGCGAGATTAATAATCTTCTAATCACACAGCGAAGCGTACACGTCAGCTATAGAACTGCAAATGGTGCCAGTCTATTCACTAATTATGCCACAAAGCAGCAAGGAGCCCCTTATTTGCAAACTAAGAAGCTACACACAAACTGCCCTTACTTTAAATGTTTTCAATGATAAATCAAAACTTTCGTTCAAAGTTTTACCATGCATTTTGTTGATACACTCTCTATTTCAAAGTCAAAGCAGCAACAAAAACAGTACCAACAGCCCAACAACTCGCTATAATTCGAAGGGGCGGAGGTTAAATTTATACATTTGCTCCAATCATATCGGGAAAATACACATCCTGTTAGGCACAGTTCAGTTGGAGCAATAATTACTGGTTGACAGTGTTAATCATTGGAAAAGCCTTATTGGAACCTGCCTTAAAAAAATTAACTCTTTGTAATTAGAACAATTTCTTTTCCTCCCTATCCCAATAAATCGAACCTCTTGATAGTTCAATCAAATTGATTTGCTTGACCCTCCAATTGCAATAGTCGACTGTAGATTGTAAACATTGACATAAAGCACACAAACAGTTAACAATCACAAAATCTGTAAAAGCATTTATTTAACTAATTTCACAGCCTTAATAAACATAATAGATTTATTTTTAAGCCTGAGTATAATTTTTTTTATTACTGGGCTTGGAATCGATAGTCTTGTTAGCAATAATCTTAAATAAAACGTCTTGTAGCTTATACTTTAAAAACCATTCCTTAAGATGAAATAAATAGGAACCAAATAAGTACGGTTTCATGACTGGGTCTATCTTAAAATTCAAGAATAAAATTTACCGAGATCTTTTTGTAACCAGCTCTAGTATCAATACTACTCAGTGGGATTAACATTACCATAAAGTAATCTTTTTGTTTTTAAATGAAGTTTTGAGGTTAACTTATCGTAATTCCTGAACCCATGATAATCTTCAGTAGTGATTTGCATAGTAGAATAACTAGTCTACAACTCACCACAGGATTACCAACTGAGATCTGCCCTCAGTCCACTGAGCCCCTTGTCGACAGCAACAGCGTCCCGTTTCTGTGATTATTAACGATTTTGAAAATCGAAACAATTTGTTTTACAATACCCAATTATTTCTCATCTATACACTATATGTGCCATCAATATTGTATTGAAAACTGGGTAGTGAATATGGCATTTGAAGACAAGCAAAACTTTACAAATTAAAAACTAAAATGACACACTAAATAGACTAACAAACCAATCACATATCATAAAACAAGAATAAAATGCACATAAGAACTTGACACTTGTTTCAGAAATTGAATGTGTCCAACGTGTCTTTTGAGCTAGGAAAACAGGAAAGTAATATCAGAAACCTTGATGTCACACTAATATCACACACATATGCACTGGAAGAATTCATGCATGACCCTGAACACTGTTAATCTAGATAGATGAGGGTTGTATGATAAATATATCAACGGTTTACGGAACCGAAGTTGCCTACACATATGTGAAAACAAACCATAACTTACAGTAAAAGAACAGAAATTATCATGCATAAGACACAATAAAATCATAACCAGTTTTCACAACAAAATTATTTCAAACAAATAATATTTGTTTTAGAAATAAAGTGATGTTGCAACCACACAAAAATTAATACACAGTAGAAAATTTCGCTTTCGTATATTAGCTGTCGGCAGATTCCTAAAACTAAGGTTTAATCTAAACCTGCAGGTAAATGAGGAAGGAATGTGTCTGGAAAATATCTTACAGTATCTCATTAAGTTACACAAGCACAAACAAATTTACAAGAACGTTTTGCATTGTAAAATTAAACCAGGGATACGTCACCAGAACAAACACCACAAGAGATTTATCGAAAACCTTTGGCATAGTTGAAACTATTTATAAAAAATAGGATGCATGTTTTGCACATTGTTTTAGACCCAATAAGAATTGCCAGTTGAAGAGACTAACAAATTGAAACATTAATTTGATACATTTTTCATTGTATTAAATCATACAAACTGCAATTGCTGATAAAAGTTTGGTGGCCAATGCAAGTTTCTTTAAGAAGGGTAAGTACGTAAGTAGATCAAGTTTTTGTTTAATCCCCTAAAGGAATAGAAGAAAGTCTGATGAAAAACTCATGAGAAGTTCTTCATAGAAAGCACAAACACTATGTGGGAGCCAAACTCAAGATGAAGTACCAATTAGGATTGAAGGTGCTTATGAGAGGAAGTAACAAAGTAAAGCAGTAAAACAGGTACTCGTCAACATGATTTAAAAAACATAAGTTGATCACAAACACCTTTGAAGTAAATGCTGTGACGCTGTCCACAAGCAAATAACAGGAAAAATACTAGAACTAATATAATAAAGTACAGTAACTTTTGGGTGATGCAATTTGTAAGCAAAAAGGCATACATAAATAGTACTGTATGTTTTGGGGTTAATTTTTTCAGCGTGTGAATTTTTAAGACTTTTCTTCCTAACTAAAATTAATTCAAAGTATTAGGAAACTATTGCAACAAAACTAAAAGGCAAGTGGAAATAATGTTGGGGTTGGCTGGTACGGAAAACTACTGCACAGCTGTAAAAACACAGTTTAAAGTGCAATTAAACACAACAAGATGAGTGCGATCATTATTAGTGCTATCATTTTGTACCAAATCACAAAATTTTCATTTCACCTCAGGCTTTAAATTTCTAACCAAATACTTGTCAACATTTTTTTAAACCTTGGTATCTGGAAACAATCTGCTGAATTAATTGTTCAAAGCCTGCCAAAAGAGAAGGCTTTTTGTGTATACAATTATTTTTCTAATAGGGCCAACACTAGATTATATATTATGAATTAAAACTTTTACGTTTTGAATTAAAAGCTCTAACGGACTTGGACTCACACTGAAAGTGAAACCTAACTAGTAATAAGTTAAATTTGTAATTTGAAGAGAAAAAAAGGCTTAGTGGACCAGTCCAAGTTTGCTAACTTTAGGTTGATAAAAATTGTGATTTATTGTTGAGTAAGCCACTGAACGACCTATCACTCTACTCACTAACAGCACTAGCCAATCCAAAGCCCAAGCATGGTACAGTAGAACCCCTCATGTACGACCTTGTCGTAAACGACTGCTCGGGATATGCAACCAAGTGACCGCCTACTTGTTTCCTATCATGACCGCAGATGTTCAGAATTTCACCGTGAACACTGAAGATATTCTCGCCGTGACTGCGGAATATGTTTTCGATTTCACTTTTACAGCGGTAGACATTCACAACATTCGTTCCCGTGACCTTTGGAAGGTGTTTACCATTATGCCGATACCTCAGAAGACGTTCTTGTTGTTGCTACAACCACAGACTTTGTTTACACAATCAGGTTTTTCATGAGGGTTTACGCAAGCAAATACTGAATGTTGCTGGGATTTAAATGCTTCTAAATTTGTCTTAAAACCATATTACAGCAAAATGGCTCTAAAATCAGGTCCTCCCTGCATGTTGGCATCCTGAATGAATTGTGCTCATGTTTTTGGCAAAATATTACTTCATAATATGTATTCATAGTTCAACCCATCATGGTCGGATAAGAGGGGTTCTACTGTAGTTCTAAAACTGACTCCCAGGTTGCAGCACATGCCAACCTCAGCTCAACTTTCAGCTGTTTCAGTTGATTTATGCTTCTATTTATTCGTAGAAAGAAGTTTGTTACTTATGTGTCCAATACGTCGGTTTTGAGCTCAGTGTTGAAGACTTATCTAACATTTTACAATTGTTTACTAAATAGTTGCAATAGGTTTGTTACAAATTATATATGAAACATATTTTGTGTAATGAAGAAAATAATAAAAAAGAGCACAATTTCTTTTCTCTTATATGTAAAATAATAAGTAAAATGTTGAGCAAAAATATGGCAATATATTTTAAACAGCATATAAAATTCATAAAACATACAATATTAAAAAAATTCTGTTGTGCATTGAACATTCAATTAAAGACTAAATAAAAATACTGCGACAAAAACTCACCAACGAGAATCTGAAAATAGAGAACACCGACAATTTTATGTTTAAAAAATCTTTTTATAACATTGGCAAAGATTATTTGTACACGATCGGTTGCAACAGCACAATAACACATGAATAAAATCGCAATCATCAAAAACAGAAAATATTCACACGAACAAAGGCATAATCACTGATTAAAATTTGTTGAATACAACAAAATACATGGAAAAACATAAAAATATGGTACATGAAAATTTTTTTTCTTTTTATTTTTCCTCATATCAAAGTTAACGGGATTTGGAATAAAAGAAGGTAAGGGGAACAGCTCAGCAGTGGCAGAAGAACCTGTAATACTTCAGCCCAAGAAAGTTAAATAGAAAGTCTAAACCAAAAGAAAACAAAAAATATATACTCAATGCAACACAACCAATGCACAATTAATACAACTATTTTGGATAGTGTCATTGAAAGCTCAACAGCCTTGGGGAAATAGTTTAAAATATGTGACATGATGGTATACACATTCACTGCTCATGTATTTAACTAACTTTAGATACTTACCTTGTGGTGCCAACTCTTGACATCTGATGAAACGCTCTTTTTAATTTAGTATCCAGATGATTAAAAGTAGGCTCCATTGATGGCATCACACTTATCCAGCAAATGTATGCACCCGTGGACCTTCAGGAACTATTTGTTTAAAATCTTGTTTGTGAAGCCTGTTTTCCTCTTGGTTTTGTATAAAATCCCAACTTACCTACCTACTCCTGTGGCCACTCAAATCCAAGAAGATTTTTTGCCTCGCCAACAAGGTGCCTCTCTTTCTTCTAGGACGTCCCCCCTGCTCCCAGTCTTCTGACGTCCCAAGCAAATTTGGTCATCCCATCTCAATCTTGGTCTCCCCAGTGTTTTGTCTTCCTTCTGGCTTTCCTCTTAACACACTTTTTATACAGTTATCTTCTTCTCTCCTTTTAACATGCCCAAGCCATCTGATTCTCCTACTTCGAATTATAGCTACAATATCAGGTCTTCTATAAAGTTCCCTTAACTCTTTATTCTTTCTAATCTTTATAAAGCCCAAGCTCGATGAAAATATATAAACAGTCAAAAATCTCAAAGAAAATATTTACGTAGCACACCCAGTATACATTATGTTCCTAACATAATCTGTCACCTACTTGACCTTGGCCGGAAAAATGAAAAGGTTGGTTTATCCAAGGAGCAGCTTCAGCGATCGCTGAAGACGATAATGATGATTTCCAAGATTGAGGGATTTGTCTAGGGTTTTTCCAGAATCGTGGTAACTGACAACAATTTTTCCGTTACCGCAAGAGATGTATTCAATTTGGCCGCAATCACCCGGGATTACTATAATGCTTTTGAGATTGCTGAAGACAATAATCTTTCCATTACTGAGCTTGGCCGCAATCACGGAATGTGATATTTCTGTGAATGCGGGGGATAAACATGATTTTGCTGCGATTGCGTGAGAAGGTGAAAATCACGATTACATTGTAGCCGTAAGCCCATGGCGCGGTTGGGTTAAACGAGGAGTCGGACTAAATTTAAAAAAAAAATTTTAATTTAAAATGCCTATGTTATTCTTATGGAGAATATTGTATCTATTGCAGTTTGATTGTTTATGGATATTGTGATCAAACTTGGTAAGTTATTTATTTAATGCTAAGCTATTATTCTACTAAAAACCACACTTTATTACCCTCCCTGTAGCAGCAAACCTAGGTACTTATTAAACTTCATGTTTTACCTTAGTCTGCAGGTTTGCTGCGACGGGGGTATTTATTGTTTCAGAACTACACGCCCAGCTGGTTTGGAAATGGTGAAATCATGACAACCTCCCTAGTTTTCTCTCCTTGGCTGGTCAGATACGGCGCTTGCCTTTTTTTTTCCTGTTTTACATTGTTGGTTCTTTAGGGAGTTACTTTTAACGCCAAACCTATTGAATGTTTTGTGCGTTTTGTTCTCCATTTTGTCTGGAAACAATATTTTAGAAGTTGCTCTTGAAAAAATTCAGTGTAAATATAGTTCTTCTGCTTCATTCACTCCAAATATTGTTTTGAGTAAAAACATTTTAAATTTTGTATTCAGAACCGGCCTATGAGGAGGAATTTTTTTAGTGACCTTTGTTCTATTTAGAACCAACCAGGTGAAGAAGCTAAAAAGTGCACCTTGTTTTAACCTGATTTTTCTACTGCTTGACAACATTAAATTTAGCTTTCAAAGTGACATTCTGATAATTATACTAGATGCTTCTTCATGATGTTTTTATAAGCAAGTCATAAGTAGACTTCAAAAGTAACACCGAACGGAGAGCTTCCATGTGTTTCAAACATAAAATAAAAATATATATTGAAAACCAAATATTAAATTCTGAACCATTAAGTCCATATACAATGTGAGTACAATGTGAGTATGAATGTGACTACATATACATTTCAAAACCATTGTATGCTAAATGAATAAACTGGAGTAATATCCTAAACAAAAAGGGTATACACTTACTTACCAAACAGCAATAAACAAACCAGGTTGTAACTTGTTTCTTTACCTAGTTATAAATAGTTGCACAAGTGTACATAAGTAAAAAGATGTCTGAATGAATCCAAATGAGAGGGATGCTACTGTAGGCTATTTTCTAAATCCTTATTTCATCAATTTATAATCTACACAACACTTGTACAATTTTTCAAATTGTTGGAACCCCAATATTCAAACGTTCAACTATTTTGAACAAGTAAGTAAGTAAATATGATATCCATTACTTAGTTTTAAGCTTGAAACATTGAACTTGTTTCAAAGCCATTGGTTAGACACTGGCGAGTTCACAACTGCCCATACATTATCATACTGAGCTAGATTATGTCTTGATTGTGACTTGATGTAATCCACGGTAAAAAAAATCTC